GAAGTCAGCTGATCACTGTTTCTCTCTCATCGATGTTTCTAACTCTCTATCCCTCTCCCTTCCTCTCTGTAAAAAATCAATAAAATATATAAAAAAAAAGAAACTACAAAACTATCTTCCAAAGTCAATGTACCATTAAAAAAAAAAAAGATGTGCAAACTCCAACGGTAAAGCAGTGTGGCCCTGGCTCTTCCCTCAGTAGAGGAGGGGAGCGGAGGAACTGTGAGATGGCCCAATGCATGGAACTTCTTACGCTGTGACTGACATCAAAGGGGGTGGGCCAGCTTGTTCCTGATCGGGGAGGTCTTGCTAAATGGAAATAAATAAAAACTTCGTCCATCTACCAGAATAAATTACGCATCAATTCAAGAGTTCATTGTAGCACATCAAGCCATAGAAAAACGAGAAAAAAAAACCTCAACATAAAAGATTAATTGGTCTCTGGTAGGTAAAGGTTACATTAATAATACCACCAGTCAAGAAAAATACCAAAGGAAAGGGCTTAAATATTTCAATGCACACAACTCTATAAGGCAGTGATGGTGAACCTTTTGAGCTCAGTGTGTCAGCATTTTGAAAAACCCTAACTTAACTCTGGTGCTGTGTCACATATAGAAATTTTTTGATATTTGAAGCCATAGTAAAACAAAGATTTATATTTTTGATATTTATTTTATATATTTAAATGGCATTTAACAAAGAAAAATCAACCAAAAAGATGAGTTCGCGTGCCACCTCTGATGCGCGTGTCTTAGGTTCGCCATCACTGCTCTAAGGTCTTATCATTAAAAATGAAAACCACAAATAAAAGCTCAAGGCAAGTGACAGACTAGGAAATTGTTGGCAGAAAATAGGACAGAAAATGATACTGTCCTAAATATATTAAGAACCCAGTGGAAAAAGTAATAACATTAAACCTACTGAGATTAAAAGAAATGTACAGGAAAACAACATTTCCCGGAGTCAGTGATTGCTTTTTAACGAAAGGCGTTTGTTGGTGAGGCTCAGCAACCTCTATGACAGTCCTAGTGGGGAATGAGCACCACTCTTTGGTAGATGATAATTTTGCTTTTATTTTTGAATCTGTGAGCTTATTTTACCATGCAATTTTAAAGCAATTTTCTGTTGGGTTTTAAAGATTAAGGTCATCAATTTCCTGTCATCTTCAGTCACTGACATTGTTTTGGAAAACACTGAGTTCAGCAAAAATGGAATTTTCTCTCTTGCTCAGTGTTTTCCACTGTAATGCTATCCGTTTTATTGGTGGCGGCCATGCCTAGCTGTTCTGATGGCCCTGGCAGCGTTCGCATGGTGTGGCCATTCTGCTGCCAATCCCCGGCACAGACCCAGTGCGTGTCAGACTCTCCTTGGCATCAGACGGCATTTAATGTCCAGGAATTCCTCGCTTACTCTTTCTCTTCTGGCAGTTCTGTCTCATCTTTTGTTAGTTCTGGCCCAGAGGAAGTCCAGGCAGGTCCCCAGGACATTACTCCAAATGTCATCTTTTCCTCAAAAAGGTCAGCAGACAGCTGGCACCCACGCTGGGTTTGTTTTCTGTTGTTGAGTTTTAGTCATGTTTATTGCCCCGGTGAGTAAAATCCTCTAAGATCCCAAACAAAACAATGCAGTGAAATGTTATGTGGTTCTGGAAAAAATTTACACTCTGAAATCTAGGAAATTATTATAGTGGGTTTCTAACTTTTGTTTCGAGTAAAAGATGTCCTAATGACACAGAATTCAACAAGTTAGCAGTTTTATGACAAAACAAGGGGACTAAATTCTAGCCTGCTCATGGTTCTGAGATGGAAGTCTCCCTTTGTTAAACAGGGGCATGAATGGAGGGTTTCCAAGATCCAGACTAATCCCCCTCCACCCTTCCCCTCCACCTTCCACCCATGTTGTCAAAAGATTGAGGGGTTTCAGAAACTATTTTTTACCCTGCAAGCTGAAGTTATGTACAGTCAAACCTTGGTTCTCGAAAGTCTCCCATCTTGAACAATTTGGTTCTCAGCCAAGTTGTTCACGGAAAAAATGTCTGGGTTAACTTCTCTCAGGCCACAAACAAAGGAGAGAATGCACCAGTATGAGTCAGTTTACAGCTAAACCTTGCCTTGTTAACATCTCAGGAAATTGTGCTGTGAATATATGTGTGTGTGTGTGTGTGTGTGTGTGTGTGGTGCTTTTGTTGCTGACAAGTGCATGATTAGCACAATTTTAAAACATAAAGAGGCTATTAAGAGTGCTAAGGCTGCTAAGGTGTGAAGGGCAATTGAAGAGGCAGAAAAGATGTTGTTGATTTGGATAAAGGAAAAGCATTTAGCCAGTGGCAGCATTTCAGAGGCAGTGACGTGAAAAAGCGAAGATGCTGCCTGCTGACCTCCTGAGAGACACCCCCTGGAACGAGTGCTGAATGTGGTTCCCTTAAGGCTGGTAGGGGGTGGTTCGTGTTGTTTATAGTTTTAAAAGTACATTAGATGTGCACTGCATATAAGAAAGGTTAAAGAAAGGAATCATTTGGGGGGTCTGGAAAGGATTAATTCAATTTATATTTTTTCTAATGGGAAAAAAATCATTCGATTTTTGAACAAATTGTTTCTCAAACAGCCTTCCAGAACAAATTAAGCTCAAGAGCCAAGGTTCCACTGTAGTGTCCTGTCCTGATCCAGCTGAAATTCCCTCAGTGGGCCAGATACTGGCCACCTCATAGAATAGGATGAGTCAGGTGAGGGCCTGAGCAACACAGGTGTTACCGTGGGGCTGGCTGGAGTGTTGGGGAAGGAGCCCAGGAAGGGGTGCTGCCCTAGCAGGGCCAAGGGGAAGGTAACCTAGATGGGATTCATGCTTAGTATTTGCCTATGTTTTTATATTTTATTTTATTGTTTTTAAATTCTCATACAGAAGATTGGCTTTTTCCCTTTGGTATTTAGCTGTATATGTTTTAACACATACACAGTTGTGGATAGTCTTCATAATTAGGATCAAGCACATCTCCCTGCAAACCTCTCTATTGTTATAATGACATCCTGGTCCCCGTTCATGCCCCTGACAAACCCTGATTTATTCTCTATCACGATAGTGTTGTTATTTCAGGAATATTACATGGAATCGGATGGGCTGTATCCCTTTGAGGCTGTCTTCTCTCAGTGGGAGAGGTTTGTCTGTTACTGGCTGTACTAACAGCTCTCCTTCCTGCTCCTGGGCGTGTGCATTGTAGATACTCCACAGTTTGCTTATCTCTCCCCTCCACTGAAGGAGATTGGGGTGTTTGTAGCTTTTGGTTTTCACCAATAATGCTGCTACAAACGTCTGTAGGCTTTGGCCACACTGGCTTTATCCTACCAGAAAGATCAGATGGAATCAGTGAAAACCCCTGGAGAGGAAAAGAAAATGTCCGTTAGGTGCCTGTCAAGATTTAGTTGTCACAAGGTCTGGAAGGCAAGATCTGAGGGGAAGCAGGAAGCAGGAAGCAGGTCGTGAGGTGTCACCTGAGCCTGAAGGCAGCAGGAGATGTTTTCCTCGCAGACAGTTCTGGAGCTGCCACCTTTGCCAGAAGGAGGCGCTGTGGCAGTGAGGTGTCAGGGGAGAGATGAGAGGGCGGGGTCGGGGAGAGGTGGGTGTATGGCAAAATGGCCCAGCATGTTAGAGAATAGCTGAAAATAGGTGAATGTGTTTCTAAGATGTATATTCCCCTCCTGTGCAGGCGGAGAAAGAAGCTATATGTGTTTGTGGCGAAAGCTGCCTCCCGTGTAGCCACAGCCACACATGAAAGGCAAGGAACGCAGGCTTGGCTCAAACCCACATTTTCTCAGGAAATGACCAAAGACCTCTTAATACACTCAGTTCTGGGCCTGTTTTTGAGCCAAGGCTCTGTGAGCCTGTTTGGTTCCATAGACCTATTTGTTTAATTATTTGATAGTAATCTTCCCAACCAATCATGGTTGGGCCTGCTAGAGGGATGGGGATTAGATCAAGGAATTCAACCCCTTGGAAACTTCTGAGCAGAACTCAATAGGGAAAAAGGAAAGGAGGATGGGACCAGAGAGATGAGGACACTGCCAGAGGCCTCTCTCGGTGCCTCATCCTGGCCCCGCATTGTTGTGTAGAAAGCTTTCAATCCGACACCAAACATCAACTCACTGCATTCCTCCAACTGTGTGTTTGGCACAGTCAGCCGTCAGCCCTGCCCTGGCCTTGGTGTCACCATTTCCACCTCCTCATCCTCTAACCAAGTTCTAGAGACTGAACCCAAAGGATGGGCTTGTTCTGATGGTAGCCTTCTTTGAGCAGGTGCCCACTTTTTCAGGTAGCTTTGGGAGCCAGGCCTTCCAGTGGGCTGGTGTGCCTGCTGATGCTTCAGGGACTGCCTGGCCTGGTGCCTGCAGACACTGGCACGCACTGGCACACCTGGCCACTCAGGTGCGTGCACCATTGATTATAGCTTCATCTGGTTCACAGCCTCCTGCCCCTTGGCCTCACTGGGGCCCCTGACAAATGAACTGGATCTCAGTTATTTCTCATTCATTTCTGATCTCAGTAACAGTGAGTCGTGTCCTCTTGGCTCAGCCTGGGAAGGAAAAAGACTTTGTTTGCATTATGAATAAAGACATTCGTTCCAATATTAATAACCCCAAACTAGAAGTGTTAGGGAAGTGGTGTTGTGAAAAGAGCATTAGGAAAGTATTGGTTTTTTTCTCTTGGGGCAGTCACCATGTTTACAATAATTTTGAAATGTATATGCAGGGTTCTTAGAAATGCAAAGGTAGTGAAATAAATAGGGACTAAAGGTCTGTGTCTGAAACTGAAGGCCAGAATGACTTGTGTAGAAGGCATGAGTGTGTGAGGAGATGAGAACAGCAGTACTGAGAGAAGTTTGTCCTAGGCCTTCAGTAACTTCCCTCAGGCTAACTCCTTCCCTCTAGGTCTTTATCTCCCTCATTCATAAGATAAAAGACTTGTAGTAAGTCACCTCAACAGTCCTTCCAGCTCTTTTTTTTTCCCCTAAATATTTATTTTTATTGATTTCAGAGAGAGCGAGGGAGGGAGAGACAGAGAGAGAGAGAGAATCATTGATCGGCTGCCTCTTCCATACCCCCTACTAGGGATGGGGGCATGTGCCCTGACCGGGAATCGAACAATCGAACCATGACCTCCTGGTTCATGAGTTAATGCTGAACCAATAAGCCACGCCAGTTGGGCTAAAGGTCTTTACAGTGCTAAACTGAGGCCTGGTCTGAGATCATCCTTCTTGTAAGAGAGGTAGAATTCAGAGAAGTCGACTGTTTCTTTCCTGGGTTATTTATGTATTTATTTGCCTCTAGGTTGCTGCTTTGGAATTTCTCATGTTTTCCCAAATTTCACAGACCAAAGGAAGGCCTACCAAATTGAAAGAAAAGAGAACCATTACATTGTCATCACTCCAGCTGTTGGTAGATTGATTTTTTTAAAAATATATTTTTATTGATTTCAGAGAGGAAGAGAGAGGGAGAGGTAGAAACATCAATGATGAGAGAGAATCACTGATCGGCTGCCTCCTGCACGCCCCCTACTGGGAATCAAACCTGAAACACAGACATGGGCCCTTGACCAGAATCGAAACCAGGACATTCCAGTCCATAGGCCAATGCTCTATCCACTGAGCCAAACCATCTAGGGCAGTAGATTGATCTTAACAGGAGTTGCCGGTCACTGACTATGTTGGTTTTCTATTGCCGTGTAACCAATTACTACAAACTTAGCAGCTTACAACAGCACAGATTTATCACCTCACAGTTTCCATGGGATGGGGTCCAGCATAGCCTGCCTGGTCCTCTGCTCAGAGCCTCACAAGCTGCTGTCAAGGTGTTGACTGGGGCTGGAGTCCCATCTGAGGCCTGGGGTCCTCCTCCAAGCTTTGTGGTTGTTGGCAGAGCTCACTTCCTTGCAGCTGTAGGACTCATGGTGGCTGCTGCTGCTTCAGAGCCAGCAGGATAATCATTCTCCTACACTGAGCTCAGGAAAGGCCTTAGCCCACTCTAAATGGCTCACCTGATTAGGTCAGGCCCAACCAGGCTAATCTCCCCGTTGATGAACTCAAAATCATCTGATTTGGGACCTTCATGACATCAGTAAAGTTCCGTCACCCTTGCCATGTAATGGAACCCAGGCATGGGAGTGTTCTGCCTGTACTCAAGGAGAGGGGAGTACAGAGCACCTGACTAATGGGGTGGGATCTTGGGGTTCATGCTGCTTACGCCACAGAACGTTTTTCTCAGCTGAACTTGTTATCTGTCTTCCTTTGCCCCCATAATGTTATAATCACGGCCACTGGCTACCATGTATAACAATGCCCTGAGGGCCTTGTGACAGTTCCATAAGACATGTCTGTGTCCTGTTCTTTCTCCATCCAGACGTTGTCAGGATTGCCAGACCAAGATACCTTCTACGACGTGGTGGACTGCCTAGAGGAGCTGGGCATTGCGGCCGTGTCCCAGCGGCACTTGAACAAGAAAGGGACTGACCTGGACTTAGTGGAGCAGTTGAACATTTATGAGGTAACATAACATGCCTTTTGTAAGGCATCTCTCAGCTTGGACAAATGTCAGAGGCCAAGGTCAACATACTCTAGACCTGTGTTTCCAAGTGTGTTGCAGCAGCACTTCTCCCAATGCACGTTCTCAGGCCCAGGCCCAGGCCCAGGCCTCCTGAATCAGAAACTCTGTGGGCGGGCCCAGCAGTCTGTCTGCACAAGCCTCCTGGTGATTGTGAAGCACACTCAAGTGGGAGAAGCGCTGATCTAGCAGAAACTTGGTAACTTGCTTCCTTGCTTATTTATTTATTTACTTATTGCTATTTTAAGTTAAAGAACATGCATCCTACCAGCAGTACTTTCATTCAGGCTGAGGGAGGGAGGGAGAGAGGGAAGGGAAGGGAAGGCAAGGGAAGGGAAGGGAAGGAAAGGGAAGGGAAGGGAAGGGAGAGGAAGGGAAGGGAAGGGAAGGTAAGAGAGAAGAGAAGAGAAGAGAAGAGAAGAGAAGAGAAGAGAAGAGAAGAGAAGAGAAGGGAAGAGAAGAGAAGACAGGTCATATTTCTTACACTGAGTAGGGGTTTAACTTCAGGCAGGGCCTGCTACATAATTTGTAGGGCAAAATAAAAATGAAAGGGGGAATACTGCTGTTAAAAATACTAAATATCTTTTTACTTTCTTCCCTGGTCCTTCTCACCTTGTTATGGTGTCTTTTTATTTGCTGTTAATGTCATTGTAAGGACAGAAAAGTTAACATTTTAAAGTATCAGCAGGAGTTTTACTGTTCATTGATATTGTGCACTGCCCGTTGAAAATGCAATTATAAGAGCATCTAGCGTCTAGCCTGTGTGCAGAGTCAGCAGAATGTGGAATCTGCCCCTCCTGCATGCACAGGTATTTTGTTCTTACCGGAACAGGGAAGAACTGTGAAAACTAGCTCAGCTATTTTTTTAATTTCATTTCTTGGTATGTGTTCATTCTGTCAACACTCTATCTTCAATTCACTGATGACTAAGGAAGGCTAAAAGGAAAATGAACTGTGGGTTATGGGCTGTCCTATCTTCTCATTTTTTTATATGTTATCATTTCAGCATAAGTGGTTGGCTAATATGGGAAAGTAACACTGTTGAGAAAGGGTAAGATAGAACCTTTGCATCACCATCTCATTTAAAGCAAGTTCTGGTTTTAATGGAAAGCGTGGCCTCTGGGGCTGTCAGTGACTCTGCTTAGCCAGTCAGAGGTGTGACACACTCACCTTGTACTCACTTGTCGTCTCACTGAACGCCCATGTGTCAGGGTCTACCGGAACTCTATGCTCATGGGCGTGTGGCATGGCAGACATGCATATTGCGCCTACTTCCTCCAGCATGCACCTGCTCCATCGTCCTACTAGACTTCACTTACAAAACCAAATTTAAAGTTAAAATTAATAAGAATTTCAAGATGGTGAAAGCAGAGCGCTTGGAGTCCTGTACACATGCCTATGAAGCAGGCCCTGCTTTGGGTTGTGCATCATAGCTTAATGGCCTGTTGACTTGAGCCCTAATTGCGCCCAGTGGGCCAATTGCGCCCCTGTTATTCAAGTTATTGATCTGATGTGACTATTGTCTGGACTCTAAATGAAGGTTGGAGCACATTTTGTGAGGAGCAAATTACATTCCTTGTTGCTAAGCCTCCTCATCCCAGTTTCCTTCTATGGCCAGTGGGAGACAGAATCTGGAGACATGTTTCCTCTTGGGTGGTGTGAAGGCTGAAGGCCTGAGACCCAGGAGAGCCAGTGATGTAGGTTCCGCTTGGAGTGCAGAGGCAGTAGGAAATCAATGTCCCAGCTTAAAACCCTTGGGCAGAAAAAGCGAATTCTCTCTTGCTCAGCCTGTGTTCCCCTCAGGCTTTCACTGGCCTGAAACAGGCCCCTCATGCCAGGGAGGGCAGTCATTTTACTCCGTTTAAGCAATTTGAATGTTAATCTCATCGAGAACCCCCGCACAGACCTATCCAGAACATTGTTTGATCAAATATCTGGGCATCCTGTGACCCAGTCAACTTGATACACACAATTAACTACTCTAGGCCCCGGGACACAGCAGCCACTTAGTCAGTCAAGGCCACTGTCCTAAAGGAGCACTTATTCTAAGGGGGTGCAGACAGTGACCAAGTACATGAATAAGCTAGAATCTGAGATTGTGAGCATGAAGAAAAGAGGATGAGGTGGGATGAGAAACTGAGGTGTGGATGAGGAAGGCCCATCTGAGATGACAGCCTAAAGAAACAGTGTCGTAGAGAAGGGCACTGGAGGAGAATCCAGCTTGGCAGGTGTGAAGAGTCTAAAGGAGGCTGGTGTGACTGGAGGGTAAGGCCTGGGAGAGCAGCAAAAGCAGAGGCTGGCGAGGTTGGCATCCTGCAGGTGCTATATCCCATGAAGCCTTCTCTGCTCTCTCCTTCTTCCTAACTCCCTGCAGCTGAAGACAAGGTGATCCTCCTGAGAGTCATATCTCACTGTGTCATTTCTGTTGAAGAAAACAAACAATAGTGAGTGAATGAATGGATATGTGAGTGAATGAATGAAACCCTTTTTCATGGCCAGCAGGACATAGCCCAAACTGCTTGAGTTAGTACAAGGGCCTACACTGTCTGTGGCCTCAGACCCATGTGGCCTTTCCTTTTGCCATTCCTAAGATGTCTGAAGTTGCAGCCATGTTCAATATCTCCTCTTTCTCAAATGTGAAAGACAGGTCTTTGGAGACCTTCTCTTGACCCATTCTCTTTTCTGCACCTGGAGTATTCTTCCTTCCAGTTCTCAAGTTAGCAAACGCGTACTCCTCCTGTGGGAGTCACCTCAGGTGTCTTGCATCCACGGGGTTTCCTTGGCAAGGTAAAAGGGGTCCCTGCTGCTTGTCCCCTACACATTGTTTCTAACCCAGGGAAGAGCACTTGCTTATGTTCACACCCTGGACTGAACAGTCCTCAGGATGTACCAGTACTTGCTGGTCTGTTTCCCTTTGAGCCACTCTATGTCAGATGTCTCATTCTTCTCCCTAGATCCAGTACACAGCAGCCCACCTGCCCAGAGTAGAAGTTCAGTAAGTGCTCAAACATCTCTTTTAATATCACATGTCTATGACAAGGTGTTTGTCAGATGCTGGGTTGAAGGAAGGACATGATTTAATCAGAAAGCAGCTAACCTTAGAGGGAAGATGCCCTGAGTACTAACTCAAGGTGACAACTGAGTGCTGTATATACCAGGCGAAGCCAGGATTTTTATTTTGTTCTGAAAGCTAATGCAGTTAAAAAAAAATATTTATTGCCTCAGGACAACTACATTTAGTATACACAGGGCAGCAAGGAGGCCGGTAAGCAAAGCCAATATTTTCCTCTATGAATGTTTGTAAGCAATTAAAGAAAACTTGGTTGGGCTTCTAGAATTCTTCCTAATAGTGGAAGATATCTGGTGACCATATGTCCTGGACGTTCCGGGGACAGGCCCAATTCCATGTAATTTAATTCCATTTCAGAAAGGTGATTTAATCGATGTTTCATTCATTTAAATTTTTATAGCTTTATATAATTTTACAAATACGTAAATTCACAAATCAAAATAAAAAGAAATCTTTTGTCAGATTATGTGTTCTAACTTTCAATTTGCAAAATGCAGTCCTAGTAATGGGAAAGGCATCTTAAGGCTGGAGACTTTGGGGGTGAAGGGTAAATGGTACTTTTAGAAATAATTGACTATTAGGTTAATCTCTTACGATCCTTCTTTGTTGTAGGTGATAAAAAATGTCTATCAGTTAGCTCTTGGGCATAACAAATATGCCAAAAACTTCATAGCCCGAAACAGCAAGTGTTGTTTATGATTCTGTGGGTCAGAAATTTAGACCTGGTCCCACTGAGAGATTCTCATGCAACTGCAGTCATCTGATGGCTGGACTGGGGCTAAGGGTTTGTGGCCTGATGAACCTGGTTTGGCATTTGATGCTAGCTGTTGGCTGGGCCAGGCTAGCCTACACCTCTTCATATGATAGCAGCATCTTAGAAGGGCAAGTCCCAAAACACCGATACTTTTCAAGCCTCTGTTTGCATCGCATTTGCTGATGTCCCATTGGCCAAAGGAAATCACGTGGATAATCCTGGACTCAGTGTAGGAGGGGGCTACACAAGGATAAAGGAAGTGCTATTCTCTGGGAGCCTAGCACTGTTATGGTCTGCCACAACCTGTCAGCAGCTTAGTT